AACTAATGAATTGTGCAAATGAGCCATGAAAAAATCAAGAAAGGTTATTACCACCCCCGCAAACGAAACAAATTACCCCAGCCCCCCTCGTGAATATATTTCTTCAATTTCTTCTTCGTGAATAAAGAGTTGTCGTAAATCGTGGCACGCTTTTATTGAGAAGTTTACCACTTCAATAAGTATTTGACCAAAAACCTCAGAATCTGACACCGTTGATTTTTTTCAGTTTCCAATTAAAGTTCTAGTTAATTTTCGAGACGTTGCCCCTCTAAGCACATAAAATAARATTTTGCSCCCCACCCCCACCCCCCTCCTGATAGATATTGCGCAGTCACTTAATAGATCTTCGCACTCATAGACTTTAAAAACCCAAAAAAGTAAAGTTTCCTTATTAGATCCTCTATAAGTGATAAATTTATAGAAACGTTTCTATATTTTCTCTAAAGGCTTGCGATGTAAACGTAGGGGATGGTGGATCAGATGTTGGAAAATAAGAAGGCCATCTTGTGCCTATCATCTTTGTCGATGTGACTTGATAACTGTTCGCTGCTTCCAAAGATACAATAGATACTACAATCCAAGATACAAGCGCTGGCCAAAGTCAAGATGTTAAAAGTTGATCAGAGATGTAACCCGCTGGGGATAAAGGCACAAYATTARAAATTCATTCTCATCCGAAAGAGAAAACACTGCTCGGTACATCTGTGAAGAAAGAATTTGATTTTAAATTGTATTTTCTAAGTAACTTAGAAAATGTAAATAGGGTTATGTCTACTAAGGAATGATTTAATAGACAAAATCATGACAGAGGACGTTATTCTTTTTTTTTTTTAATTGGAAAAAGCATTTTCGATCTCTCAATTATTACCAAGATGATGATGATATGAGCTCTTCGACCAAGAACAATATAACACAAACAATGTAAAAAGTCAAGACCAATTCCTTTTATAGTTGACGTCACTTCATTTGCATTTTCAAATCTAATATAACTCAGAAAATACAATTCAAAATCTATTTCTTTCTTCACAGAAGTGCTTGGCAGCGTGTTACGACCTTTTACGGATAAAAATGAATTTCTAAAAGGTGTGATGCGCACTTTAAAGAAGAACAATTYATCAAGATTTTAATTAGGGGATGCACCAAATAGTCATTAGGGGAAAAAAATTATTTTGTAGATTAAAGACACCTCTACAACACGGGCACCTCTATATTACGGGCATCTGTACCTTGCTCCTATTGGTCTATTTTCCTCCCTAATCTTACTATATAAACTCACACTATACCCAGTTCCATCTCTTAACTCCGACGAAGGATTAACGTCCAAAACGTCAGTTTAAATTTATCTTTTTACACAACTGTTTCTTTAAAAACACGACGCAGCTCGCACTAGTTTACCGCTAGTTCCCACCATCTCTATATAACATTGATCTTCGGTTTCGATAAAGAACATAGATTAAAGTACAAATTGCTATAATTACGTCACAATAAACATTCTATTGCTTTAAAACTAAGGATTATGGTCCCCAAAGGGAGACCGAATGACCGAATGACTCCATATCAAAGCACACAAAAGTACGCACTGCAAACATGCTGTGACGTCATTATAGGCAATATGATAATAGAAAATTTTACAAGTATTGTCATATATTCAATAAAAACACTTTATATAAAAATAG